TAGCCATGAAAGACCGTCCAAAGCATGTTTCCTTCTAGTACAGCAACCAATAACATTTGAAATAGCAACTGTTCCTGAGAATCTGCCAAGCCATGGTGGACTTGTTGAATGTGTGAGAAATAAGCCTTTATTATTTTAAGCCACTGGGATTTGGGGGCTGTTTGTTATAGCGGCATAACCTTGCATACTCTGACAGAAAGACAATGTGGGTTCTAGGTCATGAGATCATAAAAATCACAGGAAAAAGGCAGTCCCATGCCCCATGACTCTAAATCTCAAAGAGTATTATGGCAACTGCTGGTCACTGTCACTCTACTAGAACCCCAGCCTTACAGCTGAAAGAGAATATCAGAGATAGGCCGGGTTAACCCTCCCACATGCAAAGAAAGCTTGACACACATTGGGATTTCCATTGCCCCCTCAATCTCAGATCTCTTTTTCTTTTCCTATAAAAATAAAATAAAAGCACTAGTTATAATTTTTTAATTGAGTATAAAACACGCTGTAAGACAAACATGACTCAACTCCCATCTCCCTGATTTTACACAGCATCACTTTAGTAGTCATGCAAACTGCTTTTTGGGAAGGAGAGAGCATCTCCATGTGTTTATTAACCAACTACCATGACACTCTCCATGCTAGATCCTTCTCATGCTGTGATCCCACATAACCCTCCCAGCAAAATTCCTTACAGGGAAGAAAACTGTCACCCATAAAAGTCAAGAAATAAGACCAAGGTCCCACCAGACAGAAAGTGAGAATGCCAAGATTCCCATCTATATCTGTCTGACACTAAATTTCATTTTTTCTTACTATACTATTAAGTTTTCCTAGAAAAGAATTTTTTGTCCTAAAAAAAGAAAGCAGAATCATTCATTTATAGCTATTGTAAAACTCAGACATCAACATTTTCCCAGTACAAGAATAGAAGATTATTTACCTGCTTCTTAGGCTGGGTTCATAGAAAGGATTGAATCTGTCCTAAAATTGCTTACAGGGGAGGCTAGGCACATGGACAGTAGTGCCAAGCTGGGTTTGGTTTAAAAAGATTCTCAACATCACACACACACACACACACACACACACACACACGCACACCCCACCTAGGACTGGGGTCGATGTGGTCAAATTCTTCCATTCACCAGCAATTCCTTTGTGCTAAGAATGTCGCTTTCTCTGGTTCTCTTTCTAAATGTAAATATTCCTAGGTATAATTTCTCCTTAGATCCAGTAAGTTTATGAAATGTGGAAGGCCCATCAAGCCAGCTGGTAGAAGGAGCAAGCAGAGCCTTAGAAAAGATCGAGGCAGCAGCTGAGATACGCCAGAAATGCTAATTCCCAATCAGGCCGGAGAAACTTTTAAGATTCCCAACACTAGGCTGAAAACTTTGTCCTTCAGAAAGCAGCAGGACATGCTAAGACCATTAAATGGGGAAAGGGCAGGCTCTTTCACAAACGGTCTTGGGAGAACTGGATATCCACATGCAAAAGAATGAAGCCTTACCTAACACCATCTACAAAAATCAATTCATAATAGATCAATGTAAGAGCTAAAACTATAAAATTCTTAAAAGAAAACATAGGAAAAAATCTTTATGATATTGGATTGGGCATTGATTTCCTGACACCAAAAGCACAGGCAATAAAAGAAAAAAAAGATAAATTGGAATTGATCAAAATTAAAAGCTTTTGTGCATCAAAGGACACTATCAACAGAGTGAATATGCAACTCACTGAATGTGAGAAAATATTTGCAAATCATATATCTGGTAAGAAGTTAATATCCAGCATATATAAAGAACTCCTAAATCTTGACAACAAAAAAAATCCAATTTTTTAAATGAACAAAGGACTTAAATAGACATTTCTCCAAAGAAGTTACACAAATGGCCAATAAGCACATGAAAAGATGCTCAACATCACTAATCATTAGGAAAATGCAAATCAAAACCGTAATGAGATACTACTTCATATCCATTAGGATGCCTAGTATCAAAAAAACACAGGAAATAGCAAGTGTTGGTGAAGATGTAGAGAAATGAACCTTTGTGCACTGTTGGTGAGAATGTGAAATGGTACAGTCACAATGGAAAACAGTATAGCAGTTCCTCAAAAAATTAAATTTAGAATTACCATATGATCCAGTAATTCCTCTTTTGGGTATATTGTACCCAAAAGAATTGAAAGCAGGAACTCGAACAGGTATTTGTACACACCTGTTCATATCAGTATTATTTACAATAGCCAAAAGAGAAAATAACCCAAGTATCCATGGCTGGATAAATAGATAAACAAAAAGTGGTATGTACATGAAGTGGAATAATAATATTCAGCTTTGAAAAGGAAGGACATTCTAATATGTGCTACAACATGGGTGAACCTTGAAAACATTATGCCAAATGAAATAAGCCAGTCTCAAAAAGACAAAAACTGTGTGATTCCACTTGTATGAGGTACCTAGAGAGTCACATACATGGCAACAGAAAGTAGAACGGTTTGCCAGGGGCTAGGGGGAGGGGATGGGGAGTTATTTATTTAATGGGTGCACAGTTTCAGTTTGGGAAGATCAAAATGCCCTGAGGATGGATGGTGGTGTTGGTTGCACAACAGTGTGAATGTACTTAATGCCACTGGTCTGCACACTTAAAAATGATTAAGATGGTAAATTTTATGTTATGAGTATTTTACTACAATTAAAGGGGGAAAAGAGCAACAGGCAAAGAGGTGGGAAGACTGGACCGCCGGTTGACAGACTTGGGTTCCAGTGTCAGCTTCACCACCTCCCACCAGGGGAACTTTCTAGGCAGCTTGGTTCCCTCGTCCATACAATCAGCAGTTAGGTTAATTTATTCCTAAAGTCTCATCCACCTCTAAAATTCTGTTCAGGGTTCTACATCTATTTCTTGTGTCCCTACCATGTGGATTCAGCAGTGAACACAATAGATCAAGCCCTACGCTCCCAGAGTTTACATTCTACTGGGGAAGACAAACGTTAAGAACATACACACAGGTAGATATGTCGGATGGGAAAACAGTATCGAGTACCATGACAGCAGGGTAAGGAGAGAGAGTGACAGAGTGCTGTGTCAGCTAAAGTGGCTAGGGGTCTCCTCTCCAAAGAGGTGGCATTTGAACAAAGACTAAACGAAGGGAGGAAGGAGCCATGGGAACATCTTGTTGGGGGTTTCTTAAGAGGTCATAATGTCTCTCTGGAAGGCCGAGGCAGGCGGATTGTTTGAGCTCAGGAATTCGAAACCAGCCTGAGCAAGAGCAAGACCCCGTCTCTACTAAAAATAGAAAGAAATTAATTGGACAACTAAAAATATACAGAAAAAATTAGCCGGGCATGGTGGCACATGCCTGTAGTCCCAACTACGCAGGAGGCTGAGGCAGGAGGATCGCTTGACCCCAGGAGTTTGAGGTTGCTGTGAGCTAGGCTGACGCCACGGCACTCTAGCCCGGGCAACACAATGAGACTCTGTCTCAAAAAAAAAAAAAAAAAAAAAAGAGGACATAATGTGGATTCTCACCTGCCCACTGGAGTTTGAAATCCCGATCTCACTGATGAACCTCGCAGGCATCCATTCCGCAGGGAGCCCCTCCCCAGCCCGGTCCCAGAGGAGCTTACCTGGCAGTGCAAATGTAGGTGCCAGAGTCCCCCTGCAAGGCTGGCAGAACCCAAAGGGCACCATCCTGGGCCCACATTCGAGTCTCTTCTTCTCCTGGTATCGTCCCAGTAGAGTCATTTTTACGCCACGTCAGGTTGACATGGGGGCGGGCAGAGTCCCACAACCAATACGGCATCTGTGGGCACCTCAGGGCCACAGGCTCCCCTTCCAGCCTGAGTTCCCGTTTATAATGCCTGCCGCGATATTGGCAGCTTCCCGCAGCCACTGAAGGACAGAGAGAGCAAAGTCAGGCTTTGGGTCCAAAACCTGCCCCGATCACAGAACCTGCCTGGACCCTAGCCTGAGGATGGTTCTGACAGGAAGACATAGAGCACATCTGAGGAAGATGTCATGTGTCCCCAACAAAACAATCGGCACCCTGGGGACCCCATTAACCCCCCACCCTCGTCGTTGTAATTTCAAAATTCCCAAACGAAAAGTTCAGGGCTACTATAAATTCCAACTTACATTTTGTGGGGAATGTTAAATCAGGTTCACATGGTGACCAAAAAAAAAACCAAAGATTTAAAAATTTAGCCATATTTTTTACTTGTTGACCTCCTATCGTTGAGTAGATCTGGGCAGAGCTCAGACAGAAAAGCTTAATTCTGGTAGGTCATGTGGTTAAAATCCAGAGGCCCCTTTTGTCAAGGGCAAACATGCCACTTCTTTGGTTTGCTCCTTGGCAAGAATGACCCCCACCCAGGGTGCAGCAAAGAGGATGGACAAGAAGCCACTTCTGGCACTTACCAAGGCATGAACATTCACACCTTGCTTTTTGATTGCAACAAAACCTCACTAGATAACAGCTTTCCCCAGAGAAGCTGCAGGATTTACTTCTCACCTGTGTGCGCCTCAGGCTGAATGATGAAGGCAGAAGCACCCATCATCAACATGTACAAGCTGAACATCGTCGTTCCTGACAACTTCCGGAGGACACAGGAAGTGGAGATCTGAGGTCCAACACCATGTAGTCTAGGGCAGGAGACAGAGTGGTCACCAGGGGCCATGAGCCCCCAAAGAGAGAATCCCTTGAAGATGGTCCCAGGGGCAAGGTCTGGGGGTTTCCTGGGATGATGGAAACATTTTTGCCTAGGTTTTCTTTTTTCGACAAGAAAACTCAACATTTTTGGATTTGCTTCTCTATAGCTTTATTCACTGAACACATCTAAAGTCCAATCCCTGGAGCACCTGCAGACGCTCTTGGGACATCTCAGGTCTCTGTCTCTCCAGAAGCGTGGCTTTGCAGCCTGCCCTCTGCCTGAGATGCTCTTTCCTCGGCTACGGCCACCACGCGTGCCCTCTCCTCCTTCCAGTCTGTGCTCACAGTTCACTCTCTCGATGAGGTCTTCTCTTACCTTCCTGTGTAAAACTGCACCACCCTTCTATCCCAATACTATCCCCAATTTTCTTTTCCTGCTCTGTTGTTTTCCATGACATTCAGCATCAACCACGTCTCCCCCTCCAGAACATAACGTAAGCCCCAAGTATGTAAAAACCCTGCTTTATTTTATTCACAATTCCAGCCTCAATTCCCATTTGTTGAATGAACAATGAATCAGTGAACAAATCACTAGAAGACCAAAGGGCCTCGTATTTCACTTGTCGGAGAACTTTTCCTATATTCCCTACAGATTAACTCTCATTTTACAAACAATTCTGACATACGCTGAGGGATTCTGCGTCCTGCTGTCTCTCTCTGGTCTAGTGCATCCCAGGGGAAAAAGCAATATGAGGTCCACACAGGGAATAATTTATACAAGTTCATGAAGCAATCCTCCCCCAGCCTTCACAAGACTAAAGTATCAGATGCTCTCTGTACTTCCCTGTGATCCGTCTCACACCATATCACAAGTGTCCCTTGTATCAGCTAACCATCGCCACAACGATGCTACTTAACAAACCACCCAAAACTAAATGGGTAAAACAACAGTCGTTCACTCTCGTGCACGAGTCCGTGGGTCGCATGGAGGTTGGCTAATCTAAACCAGGCTGAATTTGGCTCGGCTCCGAGCCACAAGTAGGGTCAAGTCTGTGACATGTGTCTCTCATCCTCCTTGGACCAGTAAGCTTCCTGCTAGACGATCTTCTCATGGGATTGGCAAAAATACGAACAATGCTGACAAAAGCACACCAGGCTGCTCTGAGAACTGGCTCGCTCTTGTCTGCCCACGTTCCATTGGCCACAGCGAGTCAGGTGGCCAAGCCTGCCATGGGGGGAGTGGGGAGCAGTTGTGCCCTCTGCCACGCCTGATTCTTGTATGACTCTCCACAGATGGTGACAATCTTGAGGGCAAAGGCCTGGACTTGCTCGCAGCCCTTATGGCCTGCACAGTGCCCAGCCCCAGAAAGTACCGGGGAATATTTATTAACATAACTGAAAGTCGACCCAAGACAGAGTGGTTGGAGGCTGCAGGAGGAAAAAATCCCAACCACCCTTTCCTTGAGTCCTTCTCCGCTCCTGGACCGGGTATTGTGAATGACTCGCAGTGAACCCAGATGGCTCTCCACTGGCCAGGGCAGGGCTGGCGCTGAGGAAGTGAGTCGGCGCCGGAGAGTCCAGGGGCTCAGAGCTGCAGTCTGAGCTCCCCCTTCTGGAGACCTGAGATCTTCCTGGTAGCTGACTAGCTGGCTGGAGCTGTCTCCCCTGAGCTCTTTCTGTTCCTGAATGGTCCTGTTCTTCACATGTTTCTGAAGCACAGATATTTCCTGTAACTTTACCTCTAACCCCAGTCTCAGGTTTGCCCGCCCCAAAGGTCACATAAACATCCACCAGGTTGCTTTTCCCTCTTTGGACATGCATTAGCCTGTCGTGTCCCCAACTGTCCTGGCCCAAGCCAGACTCGCTAACTCTCTAGCGAGGACATGGAAGAAGTGGGAAATAAATACACCATATTGAATCAATACCACGTATCAGAATAAGCATCAACACAGTATCAGAATAAGTAAATGAAGTCAAAGATGCTGGCGTAGGGACCATTTTAATAATAACAGCTGCTGTGCCAAGTTTTGAACATTCCTTCTTGCATTTTACCTCCATGATGTGAGGCTCGCACCGATTTTACAGGGGATGTATTAGGAGAGTTCAAAGGGGTTAAGAGGCTTGGCCAAGATCTTACAGCTAGTAAGTAGACATTGAAATTTAACCCCAGGATTCCAAAGCCCTTGCTCTTCAAATATAATTCCTGAGATGATGCTGCTGGTTTTCTCTCCCAGTATCTGTCCCCCTGCCTCACCAACAATAGAAACCCTGACTTAACTAGACACATGGCCCCCCACACACAAACACTACATTTCCCATCCTTCCTCACAACTAAGGGTGAGTGGCCATGTGACAAAATGTTGGCTGATGAAATGTAAGTGGAAGTGTTGTGTGACCCTCCTGGGAAGTCTCCTTAAAAATCTCTACTACTCTTCCTTCCTGATGCTCGCTGTGGACATGGGTCTGGATCACGGCCACCACCTTGGACCCCAACCAGATCACTCTCTCAAAGTGAGAGGGGAGCGTGAGTTCCAGGTGGCTTCGAGAAGCCGCCCACCACCCTGGACTACCTTCTTTTATGTGTTCAGGCTTTTTGTCACGCACGGCCAAACCTAACCCCAAAATGTTGCCTCCCCAGAGTTTATCAAAGGAAGCCAGCCTCCTCTTTCTGATACCCAACAGTTTCACATAAACGGTTTCTACTGGTTGACTCTAAAAGTCACTTTGACTCCAAGGCAGGAGTTGAAGTGCAGCCTTTCCTCAGATGAAAGCGCCCCCGTAGGCTCACATTCCCCTGGGTTCAGGCTCAGCCTTGGATTACATGAAGGTTTGTAATCAGGTTTAAAATTACTTTGACACCAGAAAACCCGGCTGTATCCAGCCAGGGGCAGTCGCTAGCTGAAGCTTCACAGAGCTGCGGAGCCGAAGAGTCTTAGAGGAATCTAGTCCAATCTCTTCCTTTTATGGAGGATGCAAGTGAGTTTGAAGTTAACCGTCTCCTCCAAATCACATGGTTGGTTGGGTGAAAAGTAAGAAGTGTTTCAACAAGGACCCTGTTGTAGTGGAATTAAATCCTAAAACATCTTTCCCAAGTAATTGCCACCCCTGATCCACTCCCACCCCTACCCCCAGCCAAGAGAATTGTCTTGGTTTCTCTCCCTGGACTTTGGCAAAACAGCTGCTTTGCTGTGACTTCTCCAGGAAGTGGCTTCAGACGAGTAAACCACAAACACATAGTAGTGACAGTTTTCAATAACCAAAACCTCATAAAAAGGCTGGAACCAAAATTGCCGTGGTGTGGGAAACAATCAGTCCTTGGCAGGCCGAGAGGGAAAAAAATAGTTTTGCAGAAGTTTGAAGCAAAACACTATTCTCCTGCCCTACTTTCTTTAAATGTGTTTTAAAATCAGAGACAGCTTGACATTTCTGCTGAAATCTGAGTTGACCCTCTTACCATAAGAAAAAAATTTCAAGGGCAGCTCATTCCAAGTATGTGAGTTAGAATTCTATCCCTATTTTTTTTTTGGTCAAATAACCATGTTTCACAACACTTAATGTAAGAAAACAGAAGGCTAGGATGAAAAGCAGGGCCAGGCATAAGAAAATGACAAAAATGTGTGAAGAGTGGAAGGAAGGAAAAACAATGCAGTAAGGTAGAAAGAGCTGATGGCGCAGCACTGAGCCGGACAGGTGGCACACAGGTGGCACACAGCATCCTCAGCAGCACGCACTATGGCCCAGGTAATGGGTTACCTGCCTTTGATCCCCAGGTGTCTCCCTCCTGGCCCCCGGCTTCTGTTCATAGGCAAAACATATAGCCTAAGAGTAGATAAATGAAAAGACTCCACCTTTTAATTTAATTTTTAAAAATTACAAAAAAGACTGAAAAGTTGAAATAATAGTATGACAAACTGAAGGATATATTTCACCTAGACTCACCAATTGTTAACATTTTGCTGCATTTACTTTATTCTTCTCATTCTCTCTCCCTGCACACACACACACACACCCCCCCACACACACACACACACACACACACGCATACATGTATTATACCTATTTCCTCCTGAACACCTAAAAGTTGCAGATATCATTAAACTTTGCCCCTAAATACTGCAGAATACACCCAGGAATGCATTTTTTAACAGATTGAGAGCAAGTAAGTAAATGATAGCTCCAGAAATGAATCTTCCAGCATGTAAAAGGAGTAGAAATTTTATTCTATAGTATATTTGAATATATCTGGGTTGAATTCACCCAAATTGAACTTTATTTAAATCCTTACCTTATTCCAGGAAGTTTTTAGGCAACTGTCCCATTTCTGAGTCAGGCGGCACAGTCATCCAAAGAAAAAAAACAAGGTGACAGGTGTTGACTGTCAGCGAAGTCAACCAGCTATCAGGCCTGACACACACCACCTAGTCACCTCTAGTGTGTAAAATGAATTCCTAAGAACTCACGTTGCATAAAACCTTCTGAAACCCATGGGGAAATAAATGTTTACATCAAAATTAAGCTTGGAAATTTTTTTTTTAATTCAAAGGTGAAGTAATATAAAAAGCATTTTTTAACTAAGTCTAAGGAAATCACAGAGTTGGAAGAGTTTGAAGACAGGGAGGACCTAGGTTCAGATACAGATAAATTTATGACCAGGTTTGAGGCAGCTTTTGTTGAAAAATGTACTGGGCTCAAAGCAGAACCCTTTGGACGGGTTGTCTGCAAATTATTTTTGTTCTACAGTAAAGCGACAAGCTAGCTTTTCCCCACAGCGTTAAGGGAAGGAAGCCTCAGAGTAGCACAGCAAGATGGCTTCTGTCCGTACAGCCGTGTCAGATGACAGCTGGAGCTGTCCTTGCCACTGGTCTCCCGTCCCTAGTGGGCCCTCGGGGGATAGAATCACTTCCTGGAGACCCATCTTTGGCAGAATGGGGTGTTGGGCCACATTGGGCTGAATCTCAGAGGGGCAGACCTGCAGAGGCTAACGCAGACAGCT